GACTGCTCAGAAGCTCCAGGTAGTCCAATGCTCGGCAGCCAGGTTGCTCACTGGAGCGGGGTACAGGGAGCATACAACTCCTCTGCTATACCAGCTCCACTGCCTGCCCATTAGCTTCCAAGCACAATTACTGGTTTTAGCCTATAAAGCCCTAAATCTTTCTGTCCCATTATACCTGTCCGAACGTATATCCCTCTACTAACCATCAAGGACCGTAAGATCGTCCAGAAAGACCCTGCTCTCGGTCCCACCGCCTTCACAATCACGTTTCATGGGGATGAGAGACACGGCCTTCGGGGTGGCCCCTTGGCTGTGGAACTCCCTCCCTAATGAGATTTCCCACCGCCCCCTCCCTCCTGACCTTCCGGAAGAAACTCAAATTCTGGATGTGGGATCAAGTGTTTACAGAATAGACTGACTTGCTGGGAAAGACAATGTTTTAATGGACGACAGTGGACTGTTTTTAGGATGACGATTTGGACTGGCAAATTGTTTTAATGCAATATATATTTATAACTGTCTTAATTTATACTAACTGTATTTTATGCTATGTTTTCTTTTGTGTTGGCATTGAATAGGGCCTGTCGGTAACTGTCCTGAGTCCCTCTTTGGAGGTTGAGAAGGATGGGATAGAAATGTTCCAAATAAATAAATAAATAAATAAATAAACCTGTCAGTCGACCAGTCCTACCAGCATATGGGTTTAACCCATTGTGCCACCGAGGGCTCCAACTGTACAAAAAAAACATAACCATGCTTTTTGTTCCGAAATCACATAACCATCATAATGGCTGAAATATTTGGCGTGTGATCTCTTATTACCTATGCAAAATCTACACAGCAAGGATAGAAAACTGTTTTTTTCCCTAGTACCTTGCCAAAGCTGAGATAGAAATATATTAATTTTAATGTATAAATTAAGGTTTCACATGTACCTCCCTCAAGAGATAAAGCCATCTAGGGATGTGGAAGTGGGATGAATCTATTTTACCTGTTTCATTTGATTCAAAACGCGAGAGGTCCCAAATATTAATATGAATGTCTTTTGCTAATCTGCTGTGAAATATTCACAGGCAGCAGGTGGCTCTTTTATGTGAGAGAGCGTCTGAGTGAGCGTGTGACTGTAATGTTGATAGCATTTAGGTTCGCTACCGGCCAGTCTAAAAATACCTGCGTTGTGGCGGTGAACACAGAACTGAATGGAAAAGCTGATCCTTTGATCTGAGCCTTGTTATTGTTTTTTTATATAAAAACATATTAAAATGTATGATTCTGATGTCATCTTTGCTTTGTTCCTTCCCTCCTGGTGTTGCATCGGTTGATGAGATTCTGAAAGGCATTATGTATTTGCCATTTAGCCTCAGTGGCTGACAGCCAAACATAAGATAAAGCGAAGGATGTAGAGTCCAATACTGTGTGTGTTGGTTTTACCTAGATGTGGCTTCTTCCACAGATTGTATATCCTCTTAAAATTCAATGTTGTTTTGCGGTAGATGCTGTGCTTGATTGATTGTAAGAAATGTTCTACAGGTTTAAAAGCAAATACTCCAGTTTGTCTACAATATCAATAGAATATCAACATGAAGTCGTCCATTATTTTATCAAAATTGGCTTCAGCACTTTCCCAACATTGGTAATTGCAAATACTACCTCGGTAGTGGTTGTTCAGATATACCTGGCAAGCACTTCTCCTATTTCCTCAAAGAGGCATCTGTCAAAATAAGAATTGGTACTGTACTAGAATTTAGAAGAATATCTGAAAAATATCATTAAAATGATTGAAAAATATGTTTTTGAGTGTCAACCAATAGGAATACTGTCTTCACAGTTTGGGACTATTTTATTTATTTATCGTGTCAGGAGCAACCAGACAGTTGTATTACATTTTTAACAAAACAAATAAACAGACAGACAAAACACAAAGTTTGCAAGCTTGGTAGTTGATTAAATGTCCTTTGACCAGTATCTGACCACTTGGAGTGCCTCTGGTGTTGCTGCAAGAAGGTCCTCCATTGTGCAAGTAGCAGGGTTCAGGTTGCATTACAGCAGGTGCTCAGTGGTTTGCTCTTCTCCACACTCGCATGTCATGGATTTCCACTTTATAACCCCCATTTCTTAAGATTTGCTCTGCATCTTGTGGTGCCCAAGCGCAGTCTGTTCAGCGCCTTCTAAGTCGCCCAGTCCTCTGTGTGCCCAGGGAGGAGTCTCTCATTTGGTATCAGCCATTGGTTGAGGTTCTGGATTTCTATGCAAAATTCACATATGTTTGTTTTGCATAAAAAACATAATTTTCTTCAAAGAATTGTTGTTCAGAAAATGAGCTTTTCTGTGCAGAATATGCTGTTGTTTGGGATCTTATTTGTTACAACGTTTCCATTTTCTGATATTGTAAACAGTGCTTTCTGCAAATGAACAATATTGCTTACACACAAAGTATTATTTTCTGCACAAATAAATCCTATGTCTGCAAAAAAATGGAAATAGCAACCTTCTACAAGCCTCCTATACTAGTTATTTGTTATGCATATAATTGAGATTGTTTACTATAGTGTGTGTGTGTGTGTGTGTGTGTGTGTGTGTGTGTGTGTATATATATATATATATATATAGATAGAAAGATAGATAGATAGATATGCAGTTTTCCCTTAACTCTATGTTATTAGAGGTTGTGGGAGAGACTACAAACCTCTGAAGATCTGCTATATATTTTATGCACTGACATATCTTTGTCCCTAATTATTCAAGTAGATAATCAGGTGTATCAGTCTAACAGCTGAGAAGCCTAAATTGCCTTGCATGAATACTCGTGGATATTTACTACTAAGGAGAAGATTGACTCAAGTGAGTTGTTAACTCTTCTCAGGAAGATCATACTTTACCAAAAGTTACGATCTCTAACAAGGTCATGCCTTTCCAAAAGTTATGATTATTCCAAGTAGCATGAATGCCAATTAATCTCCAAAAGGGCCACACTTCCAAATGCCTGTGGAGATCCATGGTTTTCCCAATAGTTCTCTATGTAAAAATGCCACATTAAAAAGTCCAAAAATACTCAGATTCCCATGATAGGAAAGAAATCATGAGAATGAGAGGAAAACGTTCTCATGATAGGAAAGAAATTGCTCACATTGATTCCTTCAAGAGGAAAATCAGTAAAGAATTGCATCCCGAATGTATACATTCTCAGATTGGCATGAAAAATGGTGAAAGGAATCAATATTATGTGACTAACATTGCTAACATTCCCATATTAAGGGTTCCTTGTTTAATTTTGTAGAATTGCATGATCTTCCAGTCCAATAACTGTCTCTCTTTTGGCAATGAAATGTCATCTTAGAGTCTTCTGTTGAACTGCAGAAGCTCTGGGATGACATTCATTTTCAGGTATTTCTGTGAACGTTGCAACAAGGTCCTGCCTCACTTCGTGGATGCATTGTGTGCCTTTTCTCCAACTTGGTTAAGATCAGTTAATGGTGGCATAGAAATAGGACTTACACCACCATTTTAGCAAGCATAACTATCATACCTTTTTATTTATTGTAAGCCTATATTGTATTTCTGTAAAAATGTAAGTTTTCTGTGTAACCAGTTTTCACATTAAGGGAGATGTTTTCCTTGACCTCTTCAGGATGTGATTGTACTCTCTAAAAAATTCATGATGGTTGTCTAAGAATAATAATCGGTTTTACACTGGTACTGGAAGTCAAGGTTGCCTCTGTGGCAAGGATTCCACTCCATAGTGATCAAGCCTTCCAAAGAATTTTATTTTGATATACTCTAGGAAGCTCTGCTGAAGAGAAGCATATAGTGGGGGGCACCTAGCTTAACAGCAGTACGTATGAAAAAGATCTTGGAGTCCTCATGAACCATAAGTTAAACATGAGCCAACAATGTGATGTGGCAGCTAAAAAATCCAATTTTGGCCTGCATAAATAGGAGTCTAGTGTCTAGATCCAGGGAAGTCATGCTCCCCCTCTATTCTACCTTGGTCAGACAACACCTGGAATCACACTGTGTCCAATTCTGGGCACCATAATTGAGGAATATGTTGACAAGCTGGAATGTGTCCAGAGGAGGGCAACTAAAATGATCAAGGGTCTGGAAAACAAACCCTGAAAGAGCTGGGCATATTTAGCCTGCAGAAGAGAAGTCTGAGAGGAGACGTGATAGCCATATATAAAGATACTGCCCTCTCTCCCCAAGAGACTCAGGGAGGTTTAATAGTCAACTAAAATATTATCACCCATCAGGAATCTCTAGAATGTATGGCAAACTACAAAAAACAATTTCCTTGAGAAGGCAGCAACTGCATGTGTTCTTCTGCATACTGTTCCTAACTAATAACCCTGCATACTATCTAAGAATATCTGCATGGTTATGCTACTTTTCTTGCTCTCGGCCTTCAAAGTATTTCTGAAACCAGTGTTTCTGTGTCATTTTCACACACATATTTATGCCTTAAATGCAACAAATAAATCTTAAGTATTTATTAACTTCCATTTTTATCTGTGCTATCCTCCCTGACTGTACAAGAATGTATTTGATTTCTGCTTGAAGAAGAAATCCATTTTCTTAGCTTATATTGTAAGTCTTCATGTATATTTATGGGACAGTTTAATAAATCTTTTATAAACAGTTTTCTATCATGAATGATTTCTGTATATTTCCAGCTCATTATGCTTCCCAACTGTAGAACCATAATAGTAGAAACAAATACCTTATCCATGTCTTGTTCTTCAGCTCTTTTCTCTCTCAGTTTCTTACACAGATACCTCAAAAAAGTAATTTAATAAGGTTTCCACATGATACTAGCTTGTATATCAGTGAAGATTATAAAGCACCATACAAACTCAATATGTATGTGCACGTTTAGATATATATGAGTTTGTTCCACTGGTTTTTGTTGTCAGGTGCTTTGTTTTAGTGCCATGAAACTATTTAAGTTTCTAAATCCTTGAAGGATAAAGCACTGACTCCATCCTTTTGGCTCTATATTACAGACGTTTTGGTGGAAGGAAAGCTGTGTGACTGCGACATTGTCACGGATTGCACCGTTGGAGACCCTGTGAAACTGGAAGTGAAGCTAACAAACTGGAGCCCACAGAGCGTTGGCCCATTCTCTCTCACTGTGATCCCATATCAAGATTACCAAAATGGGGTCCACAATTATGATCTCCAAGATGGCATCACTTTTGTTGGATCCAACACTTTCTATATTGATACGGTAAGGCCATACGTGACAATATTCTGTGCATGTAAAGGCAAGAATTGGTTTTTAATTGGTTTCAAGGGTTTAAACTGTTTATTTTTAATACTGTTACTATTTAATTCTTTTTCAATATTTGTAGACTTGTTTCACTTAGTGTCTTTTTCCAATGGTTTCTATGAAACATGCAAGGATATTTCTTTTTCTGTGTGTGTATGTGTGTGTGTGTGTGTGTGTGTGTTTGTCCAATCTATCATTTCTTTATATCTTACCTTTTCCACACATTACAGTCTGGTAAGCTATGACATTACAGAGAAAAGGATAGACTTCATTTTTGATTTATAGCTCCTAATTTGGAATCCCAACTTTTCCTATGGGAGAACCAGTTCCAAACACAGACCACCAGCTTCATGAATATCTTGCAGTTTTACACATTGCTGGCTCAATCACAACATCACATACATAGACAGTCCCCAAGTTACAAACAAATGCCTCATGGTTAAGAACAGGGGTGAGATAACAGCAAGTGAGAGAAATCTACACCTCAGAAGGGAAATTCACTCCTGAAAGAGTCACAGTGGGGAAAAGGTGTCTCCACTGGAGTTTTATAAAACAGCAAAATAAACACCACAAGTATGTTAACTCTTCCCTTATCTGAAGCTTGTGTGTGTGTGGAGGTACACTTTAAAAAATACCTGTTCCGACTTATGAACAAATTCAACTTAAGAACAAACCTATAGAACTTATCTTGTTTGTAACGGTCCTGGCCCAGCATACCTGTCTGAACATATCTCCATCTATGTCCCACCCTCACTACAGGAGAGAATGCCTCTAGAACATGGCCATATAGCCCGAAAAAACATACAACAACCCAATACTCAATATGCCCAATGTAAGCGCTGGTAGAGTTTGGGGAAAATAGTATTTGCCATTTGGGAGCTGTAGTTGCTGGCATTTATAGTTGACCTACAATCAAGGAGCGTTCTGAACTCTACCAACGGTAGAACACACACAGAACCCCCATGACCAATAGAAAAAACTGGAGGGATTTGGGATGAATTGACGGTGATTTAGGAGAGATGTAGTCCAGAGAGCACTGTGAACCTAAATGACTATGCCAAGGGGGTTCCTAAGACGATCAGAAATATGTGTTTTCTGTTGCTCATTGGTGACCCCTCTGAAACCCCCTCATGACACCCCCCCCAAGGGTCCCGACCTCCAGGTTGAGAAACACTTCATTAATTTATGTTGGGGAGAAATTCATTAGAAGTAACTCTGGGGTGACTGATCTCTTAGGTCTCATAGTTTAAATGTTTGAAGTGGATCAGGTAGAACATGGCAATGAGTACACAAAAGAAAAACAAAATAAAAAAGAATGCTATTTAAAGAAAGGAAAGAGTCAGAGGAGGAAAAATTACATAGGAAATGTTCCAAAACCTTCAGTGTAAATGAGGAAATGAGAATGATTGGTTCTGAAAGAGAACATAAAGCATGTTAGCAATCTGGTAGACTCAAAAAGATCAAATGGAGTTGCTTGTTGGAATGTGGTTAGTTTCTCTAAAGAGTAATGCAGGAGGTTCAGCTGCAGTTCTGTTTTATATGTCAAAGGGGACAGTATCCATTAAATTAGAAATTGCTTTAGAGATCCAGATTCTTCTGTGGAGTCATAATAGGTGAAAATACCTGGTCCTCAAAGGACTGGAAAGATGTTATTATTCCTCCCTACAAGCAAGACTCTGCAGGTGATCTTGGCACAGAGAAAGGAAAAAAGATGTTAAAAGAAGAGTGACATAAAGTTCTTTTACATTGACTGGGTATATGTAGCTGTTGATGTAGCTGCTTTAAGAAGCAAATGCAGACATACTTACTTAGGCAATCCCTCGTTGTCTGAGTATGAAGGCCTTCCAAATTCTTGGAAGACGCCTGTGCACAAGGTTTTTTTAACGTGTGGAGGTCGGTGCACAGCCAATCAACACACAGTCTTCACAGAGTGAGGGTCTCAACCAATGGCGTGGTTAACACGACAATGGTGGCTTCTCAGTATGTTGCAGCTGTTGCAACATGTACCATGTTATCTTCTGCCTGATCCACCATTGAGGTCTCCAGATTGTGCTCAGTCTAGAATTTCTCCTGTGGCTCCCCCTGGGAATGCGTTACTCCGGTGGTTACACCCCCAGGTTCATTGGAACACGCAAGCCCCCTCACCACAACAGGGTGACAATCCATTGACGGGGAAATGCAGACATATGCATGGAATAAACTACCTTCTCTCTTGACAATAAAGATAATGCAGAATTACAGCAATTAAATACCACTTCAACCACCAGGGCTCTTATTCATGTAATCCTAGGATCTGTAGTTTCCTTCAGTATTTAGAATTCGCATTCAGAGAACTCTAACGCTGTGGTTTAGGGGAGTGCCATAAAGATTCTAAGTACATCCCCAAATGTCAGATATCAAGATGGCATAGGATGGGGCCAAGACAGTGGGAATCAAGCTTCTACAACAGTGGTTCTCAACCTGTGGGTCCCCAGGTGTTTTGGCCTACAACTTCCAGAAATGCCAGCCAGTTTACCAGCTGTTAGGATTTCTGGGAGTTGAAGACCAAAACATCTGGGGGCCCACAGGCTGAGAACCTCTGGTCTATAAGGATGCATTGTCGATGCACCCAACGTCGGCCTACTTGAGAGAGTCAATCCATAGTAATATTTGCAGTGTCACCCATCCCTCTCAATCTCTAGCCAGGGGAGTGGGCAAATGAGAACTGAATTCTGTATGAAGATGGGAAAATTATGAGAGTAGTGGTGGGAATTGTGTGGCCCCATGTTCTTGAGCTTTCAGTAACAGCCAGTGGTGAATAAAACTAGGACTATCAATTCAAAAACATCTGGAGGGCTACACAGTTGCTGCACTTGCAGCATAGGCTAACTTAGCATGGAAACATAGGAGGAAATTTTTCTCACAATATTACATAGTGGTAAGGATTTTGAAATAGGGCAATTGAATGGAAATATTTTTAAAGGAATTAGCTCACATGATATACTGCCCCATGTTATGGAAGTACAAGTTATAGGAGATGAGTTTTAAAATATAGTTTTAACAGGGTAAATATCAACGAAACAGAAAACAACTCCTTGTGTCTTGCATATAGCATTTTGTCCAACCTAAACAGAATATACATTTCATATTGCAGGCACATTGGGAGTCACAAGAGTATGGTAAGGTTTTCATATACACACTTCAGATTCCACAGTAGATTCTTTCTTGACACAACTGCAAAAGAATAGAATTAGTCCTCAAGGTTATACAATAACAGAATGCTAATTTGCTCCCATTATAAAAGTGGTAGCTTCACAATGCTCATCTCATCTGATTTTTGGGACAAAGTAGACTCGTTACTACCACATATCTCCTTTTTAAATGTCTAGCCATTTGTTTTAGGAAGGCATAATCAAAATCTTCAGTCTGGTTTAGAGGCTGATATTAGACATGATTGTGTTTTCCTGCATGGACTGCATGCCCCTTGTAGTTTCTTCCAACCCTTTGATTCTATGATCATTGGTATTCCTACTCCTCTCCTATATGATCTAGTTCCTTGGATTAGATTATTCCCTTCCATTACTAAATTCCAGTCATGAGACTCATCCCAATAAATTATATTTGCTTTACTGTCTTAATACTTCAGTTCGTCTTGCTTAGTTCTCATACACCATATACTAATATAGAGACATCTAATATCATAGATCACTCTCTCCAATTGATTCCTTGTTCTTGTTTTTCTCTCCACTGTTGGGGACTTGTACGATTGATCCAGTTTCTCCTTTATCACTGGCCATTGTTTCCAATACTTGGTGCTTCCTTGGCCAGTGAGGTGTATCTCCTTCCCCCAATTAACTCAGTTTGAACTCCACCTGATCAGGTTTGCAAAAACTCTTTTCAAATATATGGTTTTCAACCTCCATGAGGTGGGACACATCTCCTTCAAGAAGGTTTCTTAATGAAAGTACAGACTGCCTTTCAAGGAACCCAAACTTCCCTTGTGGCACCATTGTTCACCCTTTTCTTGGACCTACATTTTCAAAAGGAAAGAGCAATGAAATAGCAACCTGGGTTCCAAATTCTTTTAACTTTCTTTCCAGAGTGTCATAGTCCATATCAATATGAAGGATATTTGTTGCAGAATCCCTTGCTTCAGTTTAATTAGAAATATAAGATATATTATTATGTTTATTTATACTCTGCTTTTTCTCTCCACAAGGAGACTCAAAGCAGCTGGTGTCGGTAGGCTTCAGAAATCTTGTCAGCCTCTCTCTTCCATCCTGGATTTCTTCCCACCTGACCAGGAGACAGTGTACCACTCAAGAGATCTTATTGTCATAGGTCACCCTCTGGAACCTGTTGAATTAGACACAGAGGAGACAAATTGCCAGGGGTTTATATCTCCACATAATGTCCTTGAACCGGAGAAGCTTGGAGAATGAAACAGTTGAGGAGTAGGAAGTGGCAGTTGTCAAGGATGTGCCCCCTCATCTGATGTTCACAGAAGAGATAAGGAGAGGCATCTGTTTAGTAGGAAAGGTTGACTCAGTAAGCACCTGGCATCCAGAGACAGCTACTTATAAATCTCCCAGAAGCACCCTGGAATCTTGTTGCTTGTAACTGTTCTGTCTCAGGGACTGACAGTGCTTTATTTAATTATTTATTTGTTTACTTACTGTTTTTATATCCTGCCCTTCTTACTCCAAAGGAGACTTAGAGTGGACCTTTGGGCTGACGATGATTGACAGCTCTGTCATACCTGTTGTTGGTTTCATTTTTCTGGATTAGTGGCTTTGTTTAATTATTGCTGGACTAACTGATGACCATGCTCCTTTCTTCCCTTAATCTTGCTGGCTTCCCTGTGACTGATTTGGATTGGACTACCCTACAGCTTTGGCATTAAACCATCTGACTCTTGAGTCACTTGTTGATTGTTGCATAAGGCACTCGGTAGGCCCTCACACTACTGCTGCTGATCC